CAAAGGTGTTCATGTTGTGTACGCGGAGTGATATCAGAATGTTCTAATGAATGAATATTAGAACTTGTTCTAAAGAGAAAGACATCTTAACTCTGAACGGAAGTCTAACGTTGCAAACACGACATTATGATTCTGACTTCCCAAGTTCTGAAGCAAAGTAGCAAGCAGATTCCTTATGTTCTGAAGTGTTACTTTTCCATCAAAGCAGTATCAATTGCAACGGCTACAAACAGTCAAGGATCTTCATATTATGGAAAGTGCATTAACTGCTAATTATCAAGTTTCCATTTGCATAGATTGTTGCGCCTATTTAAACAAGCATCAAGGTTAAATCGTTCATGATTTACATCACATCTATCATACAATATCTCAACACTTCAAATCATATTCAAATTATTCTCTAAATTGTGTAATACATCACAAGTTTGTGTTATAATTTTTGTAACGAAAAACATCTTGTACACAGATTAATTCTTTCTTTTGTTAGTGAAATTCCTTGAGATAAACCGGGTTGTGGTTGTACTCAAGAAGACCTTGGAAGTTGTCAAAGTAGAATTGTAATCAGTTTGATTAGTGAATTAAGACCTCGTTGGAGAGAGGCGAAATCACCTTGGCGGATGGACTGGAGTAGTTTGAGATCAAGCGAACCAGGATAAAAATCATCGTGTCATTTGCATTTGATTTTAAAGTTTCAATTCAACCCCCCTCTTCTTGTGTTTTTCACTTCTTCACTTAGTTCAACTAAAGATTGGATTTATTTTAATTAAAAGATTGAGTAAGCTGAAGATTTGGTTTGCTTTCATTAAAAGATTGAGTTAGCAGAAGATTTGGTTTTCTTTCATTAAAATATTGAGTTTCGTTGAAGATTGGATTTGGCCTGTTTTTATTATTAGGCTTTTTGGCTGGATCAATATCTCTATATAAAAAGATCATGGGAATCTCTTAAGCCACCCCTATAAAATGAAAAACACCTCTGAAAATCTGAATATACCCCTCGGGTGTACATATCCGAACGCACCCAATATTTAGTTTCAGGGGTTTTCGGATATGCATATCCGAAGTATCCCAATATTTCATTTTCAGGGGTTTTCGGATATGTATATCCCAAGTATTTTAATATTTGTATCAATTAGAATCAAGGTGCATCAATTGTATTAATTGATATATTTTATAACAAAATAAAATGTAACTAAATAATCTCGGTGTTCTAGACCTCGCGTTCTTGCGTCTCTGGCCTTTACGCGACCTAACGTAAAAAACTCGATTTTCTGGAAAATCGACTGAGTTAAAATTTTACCGTGTCAATTCATCTGGAAAATATCAGGGATCAAAATCCCTTATTTTGGAACAAAATAGGGGGGTCCACCCTAAAAACCCAAAATTCCTTATTTTTCTATTTAATTTCATTTATTTTCCGTTTTCAAATTTTCAAAAAAATCCGAAAAAAATTGTAGACACTTAATTTAACTTTATTTGATTTTTAGATGTATTTTTAAATTTTTCTATCAGAGTAAAATTCAGAAATGTATATCCGAAACCACTTTTTCGTAAAAAATAAGGTTTATTCGGATATGCATATCCGAAAATACCTTTTTCATAAATTTTTCTGGAATAAGGGTCCGTTCAAAGATGCATATTCGAAAATATGTGGCATTTTTGGAATTTCGCCAAGTGCCTCTAAGAAAACATAAGGGTGGAAAAATAAATTCCCAAAGATCATTTAATTTGTGGCTAATACATCCTTAAGAGAATACTCACGTCATTAGAGGGTTTTGTTGTGTCGAGTTTTATATTGTGTTTCTTTATCATTGTCATTCTTTTCTATTCAGGGAATATAAAGTTTTTGGTCTCTACTTGTGAAGTTTATCACATCCTAAATAATCGATTCTTCCAAATAATCAAGATTAATTAAGTGAAAGTGAGAGGATCTTACATTTCGGCGGAATCCTGAGTTGAAATTCATGGATAGTAATGTGAAAAAGGCACTGAATTGAGAGTGTTCAGATGAGACCGGAATGTACTAATGACTACTTATAATTAGTGAATTTCCTTTCATTTTGGATGCGACCCTCTAGACGTAGGTGACATTGCACCAAATTATGTTATCAATTCCTTCTATCGTTGATTTATTATATGTTTAAATGTTCACCACTTAATTCAAATCTTATTTTCTCGCACATTGTTTATTGTGTGCGATATCTTGTTATTGGTCAAATAAAATTTCAATTAGCAACAGAGCAAACATCATGTTCTAGTTAGGTATGTTCTAGGGTATCTAATATTATTTCAGATGGACAATGCCAAGGAAAGAGGATATGTTAATCATCCACCAATATACTAATTATGACTACTAGAAGGCTTGCATGGTTTTTTTTCTTAAGCCCATGGATAACAAAACTTGGAAAGTTATCATTAATGGATTGTCATGTCCTACGATCATAGCTTATGATGAATTTGAATCCGTAAAACCTGAAAAATGTTTGGACATGTTGAACATTAAGATGCTCTCGGGAATTCTCGTGTCCATAATGTTATTTATAATGGAGTTGACAAAAACATCTTCAGGATCATCAACATTTCTACTAGTGATAAAGAGGCATGGGAAAATCTCCAAGTAGCTCATGAGGGAAGTTATAATGTTCGGGTGTTAAGACTTCAATGTTGGACATGTGACTCCATACACAAGAGTGAATGGGAGATGAATTGTGGAGGTTTAAAAAACTTTGGTTGAAAACAAAATCATCTGTAAAATTAGAGTTTGAAAACATTTAAAACAATTAAGTAACTAAGCAGCGGAAAATAAAAGTAAAGAAAATAACTAGAAAATAAAATAGATAAGGAAAAGAGAAGAACACTGAAGAATTATAGTGGTTCGTCCTAAGAATGACCTACTCTTATTCCCAAAAATTATTCTTGAGAGTATACATTAAACTTGAGAGTTTTTTAGAAGGGTTTTCCTACAAACCTCCTTATTCAAGGAAACGAAGTTTTCTGGACAACTTCTAACCAAATAGTGAATAAGGTTTATAGCAGTTAGTCTTCAAACAAAAAGAGATTTTTCAAGGGTTGATCTCAAACCAACACAGAGTTTTTAGTTGGCTATCCTCCAAATTGAACCGAAGTTTTACACAGGATGATCACAAACCACATTGAGATTTTCACTAAGTTGATCTCGAACCTACTAACTTCTATACCATACCGAACTCAGAAACCAAGAGAGATTTTAACTAGGGTGATCTCGAATTGATAGAACTTTTAACCAAACTGAGTTCAAGAACCGGTATGGAGATTTTTACTAGTTGATCTTCATAAACCAAAAGAGAGCTTTTTCTTCAAGGCCCAACTCACAAACCAAACAATAACTTCCTAAGACAATCCCCTAATACAAATAAGAGCTTTTACCGATTTAGCTCACAATCAAACAATGAATTCCTAAGGAAGAATATTTTACACAAGAGATAATTCACTCTTGACAAATTACAATTTTACCATCACCCATAATAATTATCCTTACTTAGACTCAAGACTAATCTCAAAGCCCTCTGGCTAAATACATGTGAGAAAAATGAGAGCTTTAGAGAAATATGATGAGAGAAATGAAAAGTGAAGTTCAAGCAAACTTTCTAGATATGAAGAAGTGATAGAGAAACTCTATATTTATAGGCAAAGACGTGGTATAAATTTGGAAACAATTCATAGGCCAATTTAATGTCATAATTGATCGTGTTAATCAATTAGACAATCTAAATAATCGATTGCTAAGGCCACAAATAGAGGTTTTTTATATTTAGCCATTACCGATCATTAAGATACTGTATTGACATCATTATACAAGAGCCTTGAACCTTCTTAATGAGGCTTGAGTCTTGACATCATTATCTTTGACTTTAACATCATACAAGAGCCTTGAACCTTCTTAATGAGGCTTGAGATATCTTCACGTTAAATATCATCATTTGAGAGTTTAGAAGTTACACCATAGTTAATTCTAGAAACATAAACCTTCACTCGAAATTCATTTGACCGCAATATTGACTTTAGAGGATGTCTCGATCTTCATGAGCATGACTTGATTCAAGAGGATAGCTTATTTAATTATTTTGAACATCTTCGACCGCTTGAGTTATCTTTCGGAGATATTAACTTTACTGAATATCGCTTGATACTAAGTATTGTCATCACCAAAACTACACAATTACTTAATTGTTTGCTTATTCATAAACTTCACTATCTTGAATCGTCTTAATAATACATACAAGCATATACATTCAACTCTTCGCCACTAAATTTGAAAACCTGAAGATAATTGAGGATGAAATTATTGTTGAATTCAATACGTGTCTGTGAACATAGCCAAATTACTCATTTGCTGTTAGTGAAAAATATCCAACTTTTATATATGTTTTAAAAATATACAACAACAAAATGCATACCAGAATTTTGATGTCAAAACATTTTTTTAATCTCTGTTTATTTTCAAGGCGCATGGAGTCTCTCTCCACTTTGAATTCAACGCAACTCTTTTGAGAATAGTTTATTTTGTCCTTTTCCCATTCAAGTAGCATTATAAAAATCAATTGTCTACCCTTTGTTTCATTAAATGATAAAATGAATAAATAGCAAAACAACAATCTTAGATTAATTTTATAACTTTCCTCATAAGTAGTATTTCTACTCCTTAGACCCAAAAAGAAAAAGAAAAGAAAAGAGTGGAGACATGCATGTACTAGAGTCAGATTGTGTTCACAAAAGTTTAAGCAGTTGTCTCCAAAATAAGTACTTATAGTTAAACACAAACCTCAAACCTAACACAAAATGCTTTTTTCTAGACTGAAAAATCCCATACAAGATAAACATCCAAACCCTCTTTTCTCCAAACATATCTCAAAATAAAATATTTTATTTCTTGGAAACTACAAGGTTAATCTTAGTGGTATATTTTCAGTATTCTTCATTCACTCACTCCATCAAAAACATAAACACAAAAAAAAAACTTGAAGATGATAACATTAACAGATTTCTACCATGTTATGACAGCAATGGTGCCACTTTATGTAGCTATGATCTTAGCTTATGGTTCAGTCAAATGGTGGAAAATCTTCTCTCCTGATCAATGTTCAGGAATCAACCGTTTCGTTGCATTGTTTGCAGTTCCTTTACTCTCATTCCATTTCATAGCCTCTAACAATCCATACAAAATGAACCTACGCTTCCTCGCCGCGGACACTCTGCAGAAAATAATTGTCTTAATCGCTCTATCCATCTGGGCTACTTTCAGCAAAAGAGGTTGTTTGGAATGGACTATAACGCTGTTCTCCATTTCCACTCTTCCCAATACTTTGGTTATGGGAATACCTCTCTTGAAAGGAATGTATGGTGAATTCTCAGGGAGTTTGATGGTGCAAATTGTGGTTCTTCAGTGTATAATTTGGTACACTTTGATGCTCTTCATGTTTGAGTATCGAGGAGCGAGAATGCTTATCTCGGAGCAGTTTCCAGATACTGCTGGAACCATTGTTTCCATTCATGTTGATTCTGATGTGATGTCGTTAGATGGAAGACAGTGTTTGGAAACTGAAGCTGAGGTTAAGGAAGATGGGAAGCTTCATGTTACAGTGAGAAAATCTAATGCTTCGAGATCGGATATATATTCAAGAAGATCTCATAATTCTCATGCAAACACAACACCTCGTGCTTCAAATCTGACAAATGCGGAGATATACTCTTTGCAATCTTCAAGGAATCCAACTCCAAGAGGGTCAAGTTTCAACCATACAGATTTCTATTCAATGATGGGTCGTAATTCCAACTTTGGTGCTTCTGATTTGAAGGGAACAACACCAAGAAGTTCCAACTATGATCTTCCCACAACGGGGAATACTTATCCTGCGCCGAATCCTGGAATGTTCTCTCCCAGGAATGTTGCTGCTAAGAAGGCTAATAGTAACGGTCAAGTAGCTGTGAAAACTGATGATCTTCATATGTTTGTTTGGAGTTCAAGTGGTTCGCCGGTTTCTGATGTGTTCGGTTCTCATCTTGAATATGGAGGAACAGGAACAGGAACTGGAAATGGAACTGCTGTTCAAGTTCATCATGATCACAAACAAGTCAAGTTGAATCTCTCTCCCAGAAAAGGTTTCTCATCTTTTTTTCTTCTTCTATTAATTTAGTTTTTATAGTATGTCGCAGATTTGAACCCGCGTCTCAGGCTCTGCACCTATCAACTAAGCTGAATTAGCTGGACTATATTTTTTGTGTTTGATTAATATTAATTGATATGATTATTATTGTTGTTGTTAGTGGAGGGTGAAGAGGAGTACATAGATGAGTCTAGGAATGAGGAAAGTGGAAAGGGGAACCCAAAAGCTATGCCACCAGCAAGTGTAATGACAAGGCTAATATTGATAATGGTTTGGAGAAAACTTATCAGAAATCCAAACACATATTCCAGCATTATAGGTTTAACTTGGTCACTAGTTTCATTCAGGTACTATACTATACTACATTTTTCACCATTTATTTACAATCATTTTTATGAACAATAGTAATAATGTTTGGCAAAGCCATCTCAAACTTTTGAGAGGCGCTGTATAAGAATTCGTAGTTAAGTTTAGATGAGTCGTTAATTTTTTTAAGAGATTTATGTAACTCTAAATTATCCGTGAAATATATATATGGAGGTATTTTTTACTAAATTTAGTCATGAAAAAATTGTGAGGCTCTACGCTATAGACTGCTTCGCATACCCTCAAAGACGAACCCTAATGTTTGGTGTTTTTCATTGTAATATTGCAGGTGGAATATTGAAATGCCTGCTATCATAGCAAAATCTATTTCTATATTATCAGATGCAGGACTTGGCATGGCCATGTTCAGTCTTGGTTAGTTTACTCATGCATACACATACATATACATATACATACATGCATAACATTTTCATTGTTAATAAATTGAGTATTTTATGGTAACAAAAAGTAGAGCTTCACACTTTTTCTGACCTTTCTTTACTTCAAAGAGGGGACAAAAAATCTTTTATGATTCCATTTTTACTTTGAATATTATAAATTGAATACTTTTTGTTTGATAAAGAAAGCAAGTGTTTCACTATAAGTATATCAGGCAAAAAAGCAAAAAGTGTTGTTATTATTATAATAATATTAGTATGTTTGTTGCTTTATGAATCTTTTTAGGAAAACTTTTGATATGTTTATGCTGTGGTGGGTTGGTGGGGATGATGATGAAAGATGTTTCTTACACAAGACAAAGAGTACTAGTAGTAGAGCATGCTTGTCTTCTTTTATGTTGGTTATGGTTATATGATCTATTCTATGATAATGATGTTGATGATGCTTTTGATATGAATAATGTTAGGTCTTTTTATGGCTTTGCAACCAAGGATCATAGCATGTGGTAATTCTGTAGCAACTTTTTCAATGGGAGTTAGATTCCTTACTGGTCCAGCTGTCATGGCAGCTGCTTCCATTGCTGTTGGTCTTAGAGGAACCCTCTTGCATGTTGCCATTGTTCAGGTATAGTAGTAATACACTCGTAGAGATTCTAGTTAACCACAATTTAACTCACTAATGTGTAGAGAAATTTTATTTAACCGCGATTTATTATAGTTAAAAGAGTCTCTGTACGTGACCTTGTATTAGAGTCTATTTTGTACACTTTTATTATAGTGGTTATTTATATATATAAAGTCGATTGTTTTCGAGGGTGTGTAGGATGGATTACCGCACATAGTCCAAAATTTGACACATTTAAATTGTGGCTAAAATAGACTTATAAAATATTTGTCACTGTTAAAGCATAACAGAAAAACCATTTTTGATTTGTCACAAATGGTTAACCTTATGCAGAGCTTTTGAAAACTTAAGATAGGTCTTGACATTACATTTGAAACATCATAGTTGACAATTTGGTTCACTTTTTGTATATGTTTGTCAAAAAATACAGGCAGCTCTTCCACAAGGGATTGTCCCATTTGTTTTTGCCAAGGAATACAATGTGCATCCTGATATTCTCAGCACAGGGTATGTATATTTTGTTCAATATATAGAAAACTTATATTCACACTCCCCACCTTTTTCTCTCTATCAATTGAATAGGGTTCTTCATTCAATGCTAATGAATTGAGATGGTTGAATTAAATGCAGGGTAATTTTTGGGATGTTGATTGCATTGCCCATAACGTTGGTTTATTACATCTTGTTGGGGCTATGAATAGATATCAAAATGAAGATTACATTTGGCATTCATGCAAGGATTTGTTTAATTGAGGCTTCTAGGTTAGACCAAGAGAAAGCTAAAACATCACCACTATTACTATTTAAGAATAGTAGGAACCAACCAATTAGTTTTAGTTTTCTTCTTTTTAATGTATTGTTCTTGTTTAGTAAAAATGTATAATCATGCTAGTACGTAGTACCTAGTAGAGTACTAGTAGTTAATTTTATCTTGTTAAATTTCAAACTTAAAATGTCCTCATATTGCAATTTCCACACCATTCATCAAGCAAGTAAAAAAAAACAAGTACTCCTTTTGTAAAAGGTATATAAGCAAAAAAAAAAAAAAACACACAATTTCCTTGTTATAATTTATAAGCAAAAAATATTAATTTTACTTTATTTAGCATCTTTTTCTCAAAATAGTATATCTTTTCCAATGTAAAATTAAATATAAATTGCATTAAATATACTTTCTTTTTCATTTTTTTAATAAACAACAACCAATTGAAATCATTTTTACATATTCTCATAAAACATATTTCAAAAAAGACACAAATATTTAAATTTTTTAATAAGTGAAATTTTGACTTTTGTTTATAAAATCGTTATGAAGGGAGTAATGCTTTGTTTGGTAAACCGAGCTGGTAGTTGGTAGCTGATAATTGATAACTGGTAGCTAATGACAGATAGTTTATAACTGATGACTACTGATGACTGATAATTAATAGGCTAATTTTAGTGTTTGATAAATTAGTTGTTACACTAGCTAATGTATCTTTTGTACACCATCACACATTAACCATTTTGAACTTATTATTATCTTCAGAGGCTTCAGATAATTAGATTGTTGAAACTTGTTGTAGAAGAGACACTCTTAAATCTTAGAACCTAAGTCTTGGAGTCTTCAGAACATGTCCTATCAAAACCTTGTCTTCAGAGTCTTCAGCACTTGGTCATAAGAGTTTTCTTTTCTTAAGATTATTAGAACTTGTTCGGCAGAATCCCGTCTTCGTAATCTTTAGAACTTGTAACACATAGAAGCAAAGCTTTAGAAGGCCTCCAAAGCTTAACGAAAAAGTCACGACCAGAACTTCTTGTACTAACGTTCCTTAGACATGTTGGAGAAGATTAATTTAGAATCTTGACTTCAACTGTAACACGTAACCACATGTTTTCTTCTAGTAGTGTATGTTCAGAACCTGATGACGTTACACGCCTTGATACAAGAGTCAAAAAATTATAGCAGCAGGCACACACTAGAACGAAACCATTAGTGTATACAATTGTTCTCTAAGATAACATGTAAAGTTATAATCAAAATCTCAAGGTCATATGTAGAAACACTTTTTGTTCTTACAATCTCCCCATTTTTGATGATGACAAAACCGTGTATTTTGATAAAACAATTTATACAGGGTAAACACAGTAACCGACAAATTCAGATTTAAGCTCACAACTCCATCTGAATATGTTAAATCCAAAATTTCATTTAAGCTTGTTCAGAGTCTCCCCTTGAGACCCAGACTCACAAAATAAATTTTGAGTTATCAGAACATAGAAAAAGAGAAGTAACACTTTCCTACAATAACTCATTAGAGTCTAACTAGAACACTTGGCCTTTATCTCAGAACCTGATTACTATCAGCACTTGATGAAGAATCAAAAATTGATTTTGAGCCTGATTGAATAATGCCACGAATCATGTATCAGCGCTTCTATTTCATGATTCTGATATCACAACCAAAACACTATACTTCTGGAGAATTTCACTACTTCTCAAGTATCATCGTTTGACTTGATATTTTCCAATATATCAATCATTCAGACAATTCACAACTTTTGAATAGAGCGTACATTGCAGAAGCAAATGTATCAGAGCACAACTTCTGAGTGGTATCTCTGTATGAGAGCATGCATCAAAATGTTGACTTGTCTTCCTTTCAGGAAAGCACAACTTCTGAAGCTTTAAGTTTGAATTCCATATTTTCAGAAAGTCCACATCTTCTGAACACTATGATATCAATAAAGATTACCTTACTTTCAGTATGTTTATAACTTCTGAATTGTGTTTGGTACATCTGTTTGAATATTCATATATTCACAAAGTGTATAACTTCTTAGATATAAAATCGAAGTTGATTTTATCCATAAGGTTTTTAACCTTAGCATCAGGATTTACATCTTCAACCTGTCTTAGGAAACTTGGTGAACTTGTTCAAAGTTCCCAGATTGAAATATCAAATAAACAGTTAGTAGCAACAACATTATACATGTTTGAGTATAAGATTCTGAGCATTTAAACATTATCAAAATCATTTTACTTTCTCCTCCTTTGTCAGAAATCAAAAAGTGATTTAAGGAGATAGAGAAGGTAAAAATATTAGAAAGCAGAGAGAATATAAATTTCACAGGTTAAATATAGAGCAATCATACAACAACACATATTTTATTTAAGAAACTGTAGATTACAGAGAAGAAACACATACAATAATTAGAAGAAATAATGAAAAATATTAAGAGTACACAATCGGATTAGAAACTAATTGAACCATTGATCATCAAACATTTCACATACATCTTCCTCCAAAGTATCATTTGGACAATTTCTAAGTCTACGAAATATTCTTATAAGTTCATCTTGAATGAAGATTTCTGACAAGATTCTTCCATAGGGAATAAAATACTTGTTCATGATTCTAGATGAGGATATATACTCTTTAAGATGTTTGAAGATAGTTCGAGGAAGGTTAATTGGAATGCAGTTGATCAAGCAGTAAATCAGGGTCTTGTCATTATTAGTCAAAAAAATTTGTTGACACCGCAAGGACAAATATTTGACAGGATAAAGCGAAACCAGTCTTTGGCAGCAGGTTTAAGATTTTCAGAGTTTGACAATCAAAATCATGATAGGCATCAAAGATAGAGATTATTTTTTAATAAGGAATATTGTTAAGAGAAACATAACTACATGTGAAACCCCTTTGAGGACAATTGATTCCATCAGCAATGTATCCAGCATTTAGAGAAACATCCCAACTATATATGTTTGAAGAGATCCAAAAGCCATTTAGACTGACCGAAGCATTTTTCCAAAAGGTTTTCACAAGGCTTGGATAGATGGGTACTTTTAGAAGAGAGAGAGAGAGAGAGAGAGAGAGAGAGAGAGAGAGAGAGAGAGAGAGAGAGAGAGAGAGAGAGAGAGAGAGAGAGAGAGAGAGAGAGAGAGAGAGAGAGAGAGAGAGAGAGAGAGAGAGAGAGAGAGAGAGAGAACTATTCCATTTTTGGAAGAGGATATCAAAGTGAAAATTTGAATTAGCACCAAAATTATTTGGATGGTTTTCTTTGATAACTTCCAGAAGATCATCATCTCCATGAAAGGTTCTTCGGTTTGAGACAATAGACATTTTGATAGAGGATTTGGAAGGATTATAAAGTAAAACACGAGTGAAAGTTTCAAAATAAGAATGTGATACGGTGGCAGAACCGACTGTTTAATACTAGTTTGCATTTTGCGTTTTGTGTTTGCAAAATGTCGCGGTAAGCAAGAGTCGCCACCGACTTTTATTTCATCCAATCATGGAAAAGGAAAAAGAATAGAAAAAACTTTTTTTCGAGATATTCTGAGTACGGGGGGTAGATTATAGAAAGGGAAGGTGTTAACACCCTTTCTATCCATGGTTTTCCATGGGCTCTTAGGTACTTTCTCATTTTGAAATTGCTTGTGTGTGTGCTTGCTTTGAAAATATTTTACTTCGTGATAACCCTTGCATCAGTCTTCAAGGGTGTGACGAAGTTGTTTTGAAAATTGTTTTGAAAGGTGTTTGTGTGAAAAATTTTTTATTGAGCAAGTACTTAAGATTCTACCTACTCGAAAAAAGATTTTTTTTGTTCTATTTCCTTTAGACAGCGTTATCCCACTATTAAGGAGTAGGTAGCACCGTCGTTGGAGTTTGTAAGGGACATTCGAAAGGGATGAATACAATCACTAAAGCAATAGTTAGAAAACTTTAGTAGTAACCCTAGAGTCTTAAGATCTTTTTGAGGCGACGTTTCCGAGGCAACATTTCTGAGGCAACATTTGAATGGGACAATTGATCTCTTTAGACTGGAGAGCCACCACTAAAATCTCATATGCTTAATGATTGTGTACCAAAGGCAACCGGAGTGGAGTAAACCCTAGGAGTGAACATGTGCGAGTGATTTGTTTCAGTTATTTTAATCTTTGCACATTAGGGTTTTCTAACTGTTTTAATTTTCATGCATTATTGCCATACAATCCTATTAGCCATACATCTAGACAATTAATAATTTGCTGAAAGTAAACGCGGAAATAAACCTAGCTATTACATGGCTTTGACAATTACACAATTGCCTTGACGTGAAATAAAAAAATGCGGAATTTAAAATCCCAATTAAACTATTACAACCTTGAAACAATTACAATAATTTGAATTAAAAGAGAGTCAAGGCGCGCGCGACGAATTACGTACGAGAGTAAAGTATGAGTCCTAAAAAATCTAATCAATTAAAGAGGTAATATTTTTTTGTATTTTATTGTTGCGAAAAATATTTGAAATTTTAACCTAATTTGTCTAATTAATTTTAATTATAAAAAAAGAATTTGAATTAATCTAATTGAGCTAATTAATTAATTAATTGCAATTAAATATTTTTATGAAAAAAACTAAAATCTAATTTTTTAGTGATTTTCTGATTTTCTGATTAAATAAATGATTTTTGTTGTGAAAATAATTAAAAATAACCAATAAAAAAGAATTAAAAAAAAAGAGAGGGAAAGATTTGGGCCTGGAGTGATAAAGCAAACTGGGGGTGTATGTTAAACTTTTGAAACCCAGAAGGATGGCCCAGAGTCTGGCGCCTGATCCAATGAGACCATCTTTTGGGGACTCATGGTGGACCTGCGTATGCTGGCGTTGGATCTGGCTGGAGATGGATCCAAAGGATGAGATCAGAGGGCGCGTGATGATCCTCAAA